TCTGGGCTATTAAAACTTTCTAAGAATTGCGTTCATTTTCGACGCCACTGGTACACTATTTCTTCTAATTACAATGAGCAACAGACTGAAAAGATTTACTTCCAGAACTGCTTTCTCCCTGATGTGCGCAACTATAGAAAACATTCCCTTAAATGAAGGGTATATTTCTTAATGAACTTCATATTCCTGACCCGTTGTAGGGTATAAACTCGTGGTAACATATCCTACCCTTTATGCATTTAACCACTATGAGATAGTCTTGACTCTCGACCTGACACACATAGATAACAGTGGAAATGTCTCCGTGAGTTAAGATTGTAGAGTAATTGCTACTCGCTTGACACTAGTAATTGGTGGTGTCTTGACAACATTTCGCCCGCTCGTTATTCACCGATCTATGACTGAGTCGTTAGCGATGATGAGATGAATAAGCGGATTTAGAACGACATAAGCGAAGGTTAATAACTAATTTTTTTATGTGTGAAGCCAATTTAAATGATACCATTTAGCAAGTAATTTAAGATTCCTAATTTTTCAAGTTCAAGTTGATCATATACTTCATATTCTCGAAAACAACGTCAGATTTAGACAGCATTGATGGATCTTTTCTGTTAATTCAACCCAAAATAAATAAATAAATATATATATATATATATTTACTAAAATTCACACCAAAATCTCTCAGAGCGAGACCCTTCTACTGAACTCCACTTTGTGATCGCCCTAAATATGGGCGACTCGGGTGCGCTCTTGTGGGGTTTACTTTCGCGTCTACCCAAATAAACAAGTCTAAAAGAAATTTAAATTCTTTTTTTTTTATTGTAAAAATTTCCTTGTAAGTACCTCGAATATCAGTCGCACTTAGGAAATGTGAATAACTATTAAAAAAAAAAACTTTAGACCAGGGGTTCTCAACAAAGAGGTATGAGTATTTAGGGGTCTCAGGTGGGGAGGGAAACATCTTTTACTTTTTTTTTTATTTATAGAATTTGGAGCCCATCAGGAATGTCGAAAAAAAACTCCTATAAAAATAATCCATATTTTGTCTGTTTGGTTTTGGTTAGTGTAATCAAATAATATATTGCTGGTATTTTTACTATAAAAATATATCTTTAAAGTGTTTAGAGGGGGGGTCACTATTTGCCCATAGCTGATACCCTAACAGGTACTACCACCCTGGGTCAGGGTGGACTGGGAACAACAGCAGTTAAGAGATGGTTCCACAATGCTCAAAACCTCCAATCTCCTGATCAGACAGGTCTTGCTGCTGCCAGATTTTTGTTAATATTTTATTCTGAGTGTTGGAGTTGTTGAGAGGCAAGATAAACAAATTTTGATTTAAAATTTATAATTTTAAAAGATTGCCAAAAATTTAATAAAAAAAAACGAAACCGACTTTGATTTAAAATCTTAAATTTCTTGGAGTGAATTTATATTTGCGATAAGTAACTTTACGTTAGTTTGGGTGAATGAACACAAAGATCCTCATTAATTGCGATATATACCCGTCAAAAAACGATTACATATATACACAACCATATATATATATACACAACCATACATATATACACAACCATATATATATATATGGGTAACAGACTTATTTCAACCGACAAAAACTTCGTCAGTCTTAGTCAACACTAGTATAGACTGAGTTCATGCCTGAATTAGAACTTCAACTGTGATAGTTGCTACAAAAAATAAAAATAAAAAGAAAGGACAGAATTTATCCATATCAATGTTTCAGTCAGTCGAAAGGCATGATCCAGTTGTAAGGGGAGGGTGGAAGGTATTATTCTTAAAGGGAAGAGATTTTATCAAATTAAACCGGATATTAACCTTATGAGATTAAATTGGGATTATATGAAGAATGAAAGAGAAAAACAAACATTTTTTTAAGATAAAAACTTAAAATATATAGTTAGGGTTAAATTTAAAAATACAAAATCCTACTTAAAAATACTCCTCCATAGACAAGTTATATGTAAAAAAAATAAGATATTTTTAAATAAATCAGAAAATGCCATATTTAGTTAATTTATATTAAAATTAAGTAAAATTATATTTGAAAAAGTATATTTAATAAAAAAATCAATAGATTCTATTAATGAATTAAAAAACATTTAGAAATAAAATTATAATATTATAAAATAAATTATACATTTAGAAGTAGAAAATAAATAAATAAAAGAATTTTTTAACTTTAAAAATAAGTTAAATCAGAAACAAGTTATATTTTAAAAAATATAAAATTATAATTAAAATACATAAAAATAAACGTCATATTCAAAAACCCTAAAATATATAGATAAAAAGATATAAGAGAAAAAAGGTAAAAGAGTTCTTAGAACAGGGAACAATTATAAGATATAATTAATATAGTCTAAAAATGGAAATATAGAAATTAGAGTTAGTTATACATTCGACATTTAAAGAGTTAGAGAAATATAGTGTCTAATAAAGTAATATATATGGGTAACAGACTTATTTAGTTTTTTTTTAAGAGGCACAGTGGGGGTAATGGATATCGGCTTGGATTGTGGAATCGCAGAGCTGAGTTCGAATCCAGGTTGAATTCATTACATTCACTTACGTGCTAATACCCTTGGGAAAGGTGTTAATCCTCTTCTTCTCCCTCCAGCTATGGGTTAAATAGCAGGACAGACTGGGATCTATAGCCTTGGATGGCAACTGGTCTAGGAGAAGGACAACTCTGAATCCAAAACCTGAGGGGGGTTGTTTGGGGACCTTGTGGCACGTAGTGCACCAGGTCTCTGTATTCGGCCCTTCAAAAAGTGTGAATGGTCCTGCACGAAGCCTTCACCACTATAATCAAATCTCATGTGCCGGTGTCGGGCTGTCGGTTTCCTGGAAACTGATCTACTTGACCCTCATACGTCGAACCCGACGGGAGAGTCAATTTTTTTTAAATAAATATATATATATATATATATATATATGAATGATTGATTTATATATATATATATATATATATATATATATATATCTTAATGATTGGATTTCTCAGTATCCTTGGAAACAGTAAATTATGAATTTACATCTGCATTTAAAACTAAGTAAATTTAAAAATAAGTTATTCCAATATTTGCTTGAAGATGAAACTGAACTAATGTTTTTAATTTAATTATATAATTAAATTTAAAGTTTTTAGCTTCCATTTTTGAAACATGGCTATTACTGTGTATCGAAAAAAAACATATTTTCAATCAGTTAATTTACAATATTTATGCTCTGTGAATTTACATTGAGCACTGTTTTGCAAAAATAAAAATAAAACATATCAATAAGAACACCGGATTATATATCTTACTGTTCTTTCTTCCTCTGTGTGTGTGTGATAAATGCCAATGCTATCTGTTAATATTAGTAATTAATATACGTAAAATTATAGAAGTTAATGTATATCAATTATAAGAATTTCTGCTAATAAATAGCATTTTAAAGATATTTAAGGTAAATGTTCTCCACAGCCGACTGAACCAAAGCATCTTGGATAAGAGGATCGTTCTTCCTTCGGAGGTGGACGCAAGTTCGAATCCTGCCCATGTGCACATCTTCGTTATTAAGTTTTCTCGAATCCGCAGGCCGGTTGACGAAATAAACATTGTTTACCGAAAGAAAAATACCTGTTTACCATCCAATCTATTTTTTCGCTCAGATTAGGTCATTTGCAGTGGTGTGCAGTAATATGAATCTATTTTCGCGATGTATGATCATAATTTTTGACCTTGAAAAATATTGCGTCAACCGTGATTGCATCAGATTTTTAACGCGCCCAGACACTATTGTCTTGACTGTCGATTAGTTGTCCTACGGCCATTGTCTGCGATGGACGTTACTCCAAGGAAGCGTACGAAAATTGTAACGCTGCACCAACACGCTGGCAAACCTTATCAGTGAGCAAATCAAAGTACTATAGACTGGCCTGGAAAATTTTCTGATTTAAATCCAATCGAGAATCTGTGATCAATCTGAAAGAAAATGACATACGAAGTACTTATATGTACACTGGGTCATGTTTTATTTTTTTTTAAATACGAAAAAAAATATAATAACGGAATTATTCATTTTGTTTCAATTAATTTGCACAAGGGTGTACATTTTCTAATAAATGTAGTATTTTAAATGAACAAACAATTTAGATTTGAAAATTCGATCATCTTGCTGTCAGCGAAAGTGCAGGCATCGAAGAAGTAAGCATTTAAAATAGCGACTCGAACCGTGACTACTGATACGCAACTATCTCAGCCACTAGGCAGATCGTTTGAAAGAATATCTGCGAGAAAGTGGAAGTAGCTTTTAGGGCTGAAAAAAAACCCTGATATTTTTCTGTTTTTTATTATTATTATTTTCTATCTTTTACTTTGTAATTACTTGATAAGAAGTCACATGATCACAAAACCTTGATTAGAAGCTTTTTATTTGCAGCTAATAATTTTAGTCTCTTCACTCGATTTATTGTATATCAACCCTCCGACACATGCCATCGAAATATAATCTTACTCCCACATCAAAGAAATACACGTGTTTCAATTTAAGCAACCCCAAACCGCTAGATGGCGCTGATTACAACACAATGGACGCTAAGAAACTCATCTTACACAGAGTCGGGAGATAAGTTTTTTGTTCTTCTACACTGAAGTACAAAGCGTGAATCTGAAACTCAACCGATTGTCAGTGAGAGATTTTAAAATAGGATTTGCTGCAAAAGGCGGCCATGGTTACTTTGTCTACGAGTCTTCTCTTTACAGGCTCTATTTTTAGACTAATCTCAAAGAAGTTGAAAAAAAAGAAATTCCAAATTCCTATTTTGAAAAAAAAAAGAGTAGAGATAAGTGTTTAACAAAAATAAACCATGAATAAGAAAACTGTTTTGTTCAACCAGTAACCTTTCCTCAGTTTCTGTTTTTAGAATTTCTAAGTTACGATGATGTAAGGCTTATAAAAAGCTTTATCAGGTGGATGACAAGGAATAGTTTTCATAACAGGAGAATGGCCCTGGATATTCCGACTCCACAGCAATAGCTGAGCATCG